GCACTTGCCTAGCCATGTGAGACTCTCAGTTCAATCCTCAGCACTGGTTAAAAAAAAAAATGTGGTTTGGGCTGGGTGTTAAGGTGTACACCTGTAATCCCAGTGGCTCGGGAGGCTGAAGCAGAAAGATCACAAGTTCAAAGTTAGCCTTAGCAAGACTGTCTCAATTAAAAATAAAAATGGCTAGGGATGTGGCTCAGTGGTTAAGTGCCCCTGGGTTCAATCCCCAGTAACAACAAAAGAAGAGTGACTTGAAGAAAAGTGATTAAACCAGGCTCAGAGATCATCTTTGTTCTCTGTCCTCGATCCTTCATTGCCTTGCTTGTGCCATGCTATTCAATACTTTCTGACATGTTGACTTACCAGTAAAGCTACTTAGGCAATAAGTTCAGTTGTGGGATCCCTGGGACTGTTCTTTTTCTTCAGTATCCTCTGAGTGTGGCCAATAGTGTGCTGACATTGAATACTCAAGAGTTCACATTTTCTCTTTTGCTGAATTTACATGTCACCAACTTTCCCTGTCTTAATTCTTGGCTCAATAGAGCCTCTGGATCTTCCTGTTCAGTTTCTCCTTTTCCCCCCCCAGGGGTTTATGTCTGCCTAATCCAGGTTAGACCACAGTCAGAAGAGTTGCTTCAGGCCCTCAGCACAGCTGACACCTCAGTCTACGGGTGGGCCACACTGGTCAGTGAACGTAGCAAGAATGGAATGCAAAGAATCCTCATTCCTTTCCTTCCAGCCTTTTACATCAACCAGTCAGAATTGGTTCTCAGACACAAAGGAGACGTTGGGGAGATTAAAGTGCTGGGAGTTGACAGAGTTCTTGAGAACCTAGAGGTATGTTGAAGTCTGAACCAAAACTTTAAGGGAGATTAGGGATTTGAACTTTTTATTCTCATTCCAACAGTAAAGGAAGTTATTGAGTGACCTGATAAAAATCACCATAGGTAATTCTTAAATTGAATGATGAAAACTTGTCTTCTTCACAATGCTATGCAGAGTTCAAAATCTAGGTCATAAATTTGTTAATTCCTTTAAAATAATCTTTAGATTATTTTAATCTTTAAATTTTTCCTTAAATTTATTTTCATCTCCGAGTTCATTTTATTCCTTATTCTTCAATACTTCTAAGGGGAGAAAGTAAAAGACTTATCACCTGGTAGGTTTAAAGTCCATATCTTGACAATTCTTATACTGTATGTGTTTGCAATTGGAACATATTGCTACAACATATATTTTTATTCTTTCAAAAAAATGCTGTTTTATCTTTTATTCAAGGTCTTCCCCAGCTCCCCAGTTCTAGTGATCTCTGATCATAGGCAGTCTCTGCTCACCCTTGGCCTGGCTGTCTATCCTGTAAGAATAGTCAACTTTACTGCCTTCCAGCAGATGGCATCACCTGTTTTCATTAATATTTCCTGTGTGCTCACCAGTCAAAGTGAGGCCGTGGTAGTGAGAGCTATGAAGGAGAAGTTTGGTGCAGGTGAGCACTTGGGACTACTTTTAATCTAGGAGGAGAAAACAGAATGCATTCACCATTTCATCAGTGGGAAATATTCAGCCTCTTCACCAAGATCAAACTATTGAGGCTTGGATCTCTCCCAACCTATCCAAAATAATGTGTTTAGGTAGCTTAACACTAGGTAGCTTTACACTATCTAAATTTTATATTTAAGTCATTAAGTCCCAAATTTACAATTCTGCAAATATTTTAATAAAATTGACACAACTGCATTAAAATATGTAGGAAATCATAACCTAAAGCTCATACATCCTTTGTTTTCATTAAGAATGAAAATACAGCTGGGTGCAGTGGCACATGCCTATAATCCCAGCAGCTCAGGAGGCTAAGGCAAGAGAATCACAGATTCGAAGCCATTCTCAGCAATATAGTAAGGCCCTAAGCAACTTGGCAAGACCCCGTCTCAAAATTTAAAAAAAAAAAAAAAATTTTTTTTTAAAAAGGCTGGGGATGTGGCTAAGTGGTTAAGCACTTTTGAGTTCAATCATTGGTACAAAAAAATAAAATACATTGTCTTATAAATATGACACGAGGACAATATAGTATCTTTTACATATGTTATCCTGTAAATGACATTGGGCAAATGTAACTGAGACCTGGGACAAAATTGGTTAAATAAAAATAGTTATAAGATGGGTGTGGTGGCACATACCTCTAATTCCCTATTTGGGAGGCTGAGTTGGAAGGATTCCAAGTACAAGGCCAATCTAAGTGAGACCCTATCTCAAAATAAAATTATAAAAAAAAAAAGAGGGCTAAGGGTGTACTTCAGTAGTAGAGCACTTGCCTAGTGTGTGCAAGGCCTGGGATCAATCCCCAGTTACTGTATATAAAGAAAAAAGTAAGTTATGTGAGTTTCCCATTAGTGTCTCAGTTTTGTAAGTATACCATTTATCCTGCTTTAAACTTCTGCTAGATAAATGTTTTGTCTTCTTCAGAAGTATTAAGAGATCTTTCTACATCAGACAATGGACAAATGTCAACCCTAGATTGACAAATTTAAAGATTTAAGATGTAAATTTAAGATTCCCCAAATCCTGATTTCAGACATTACCCAGTTGAGATATTATGCTAAATTAGGATGGGAGGGGAACAAGTTATGAAAACAGGTGTTAGGAAAACCAGAGAACATCCTCCTTAAACTTTTCACCCCTCAAGGAAAACAAGTATTGTTTTTGGATTTTTTGTGGTCTAGGGATCAAACAGGGTGCTCTACCACTAATAAATACCCCCAGTGCTTTTTATTTTTTTAAAGCAGGATCTTGTTGAGTGGCCCAGGGTGGCCTCAGACTCCTGAGAGGCTAGGATTAGACATATGCCACTACATGTGGCAACATAATTATTGGAAGTGAACTGGCCTAACTCTAGTGCATACTCTAATGGGAGTTTTTGTTGACTTTTCTCATGATCAGTATACTAAGCATATCTTCACTATTGTTTTAATTCTTATCCACAGCCAGGTAGAGTCTTGCCATCCATCCTGCTAAAACAGACTCCTTCTCTCCTGCCTCCTGCTATAATCCCAGCAACTCAGGAGGCTGAGGTCAGCCTAGTCAATTTAGCAAGACCCTATTTCAAGATAAAAAACAAAAGTTCTAGGGATTTACCTCAGTGGCAAAGCACCCCTGGATTCAATCATCAGGACCATGCCCCACCAAAAACAAACAAACAAAAATATCATCCAGAGATGTATTTATTTTCAGATCTCACATTTCTTAACCTCCAAATTACATTACAATCATATCTATACCTACATTTTTGTTGCTGCTGTTAATAACACTACTGTAGCACAACTAGGCTTTTTAACATTTTGACAATTGTACAACGTAACCATATCACCAATTTTTTTTTCTACTTTAACTGACGTTACTTTGATAAGTATCCTTCCTATTTATTTTATGGACTCTCAGATGGTATTCATAGGCTTCGCCAGACTGCCAAAACTGCCCAAGTATAAAAAATTGCATAAGAACTGCAAAGGAGCTGGGTGTGGTGGTGTACACCTGTAATTCCAGTGACTTGGGAGGCTGACAGAAGGATCCCAAGTTCAAAAGCAATTTAGCAAAGCCCTGTCTCAACAAAGGATGAGATTGTGGCTCAGTAGTTCAGCACCTCTGGGTTCAATCCCTGGTATTAAAAAAAAAAAAAAGCAAGGGGTGTTGGGCATGGAGGCTCATACCTGTTATCCCAGCAATTTGGGAGGCTCAGCCTGGATGACAGTTTTGAGTGTAGCCTCAGCAATTTAGTGAGATCCCATTTCAAAACAAAAAATAAGGGGCTGGGGATGTGGCTCAAGTGGTAGCGCGCTCGCCTGGCATGCGTGCGGCCCGGGTTTGATCCTCAGCACCACATACAAAGATGTTGTGTTTGCCGAGAACTGAAAAATAAATATTAAAAAAAAAAATTCTCTCTCTCTCTCTCCCCTCTTTAAAAAAAATAAATAAATAAGGCTGGGAATATTGCTTAGTGATAGAAGCAGGGTATGATGGTGCACTCCTATAATCCCAGCAACTCCAGAGCTGAGGCAGGATTGCCAAATTCAAGGCCAGCTTTGGTAATTTATTGAAAATGTTTATTTGTTGAAAATTTAAAAGGGGAGGAGGGACTAGGGATGGTGGTAGAACACTTGCCTATTACATGACTCTTGGGTTCAATCCACGGTAGTGGGGTTGGGTGGAGAGAAGGGCCAGGTTTGGGGAGACAGACATTAGATCATTATAATCAGAATGGACAGGTACATATGATGCTGTCCACATTTTATTTGGATTCTGATCCTATGGACTCCGGAAAGCCAGATTTGAACAGTGGGATCTGATCAGAGATTAGTGTACAATCCCTATGCACACCTTAAATCTCAAATTCTTCAGAGGGAAGCAGTTTGCAAATAGTGTGAATGAGCTGGGTGTGGGTGGCACATGCCTGTAATCCCAGCACTTCAAGAGGCTAAGGCAGGAGGATCCCAAATTCAAAGTCAGCTTCAGCAACTAAGTGAGGCCTTAAGCAGCTGTTTGAAAAAATTACAAGGGCTAGGGATGTGGCTCCTTTGGGTTCATGAGATTATAAGAAGTTAAGGACAGTTTTGGGTTATGTTTTGTGAGTTCAGAAGCAGAGCTCTACTAGGAGTGAAGAATAGCAACCAGGTATGAAAACCTAGTAATCCATAAGTCCTGGAATTCAGGCAGTTTGGCCAAGAGTGGAGTTCATTTATAAGCAATGAAGAATTCGAAAAAACCAAACAGATGCCAAATTGGCTTCAAAAACATGTCTGAAGAATTCCCTAGAAATGACACCCTGAAGACAAGGGACCAATGAATTTAGGAGGTAACTGGTGATCTGAAGAAATGTTTTGGTTAGCAGAGACTATCACAAATTTAGTAAAAGAAAACATGGCACCTGGGGTTAAAATACACAGAATGGGTTTTACAGGCATTTTAAGGTGGCAAAGGGATTTAAAGCACCCCTTAAAACCTGAGAAGACTAACATTTAAATTTGAAGATTTTATTATTTGGAGATATGAGAAGCTAAAAAGAGGTGAAGGAACGAGTTCACACCTCAAGTTTCATAAAAGGGCTGGGTTTTGAGTGCTTCTGCTGGATACTCTTTAAGACCCTGTCTTCAATGCAGCATCTGCCCTGGATGTGTCTAACTATTATCTTGTTATGGCCAATGCACAGATCAGTGTGAAGGTTCAGGAGTCTTCAAGCAGTTCATTGGTTCTTACCAGATCCTCCTCTTTACCCTCTTTGCGGTGTTGGCATCAACAGCTTTCATCTTTCTAGGTAAGGAGTCCTTATATTCAGCACCGTGGACTTTGACTTGGAAACTGCCTTCATTTTATTTCACAAACTAAATGAGGATGAAAATTAGCTGTTTATCACATCTAATTTGTGACAAGTAGTTGACACGAGTTAGCCTCCCTAGCCCAATCACTTAATGCCATCTTCAGCTTACTACTACAAAATGGTATACTGGATGTGGCAAACTATGATATATCACTAAAGTGGAAACAACTAAAGTGAAATACCACTGTTGCTTAGCCTTCAGACAACTGCTACTGTTACTCCAACCAGTGGCTAGGGAGGATTCAATATACCATCACCACTGGCTACACACATCTCCCATCTTTTAGACAAAAGAAAATACCTTAAGATGGTTTAAATTGGGATAAATAAAATTTCCAGTAAGTGTATTATTTAAGTTGCAGTGTCCAAGTATTTTGGGGGGGATGTTACTTCCAGAAGCCAAGACATCCCAATTTCAGGACCAGGGTTGTAGCTCACTGGTTCAGCACTTGCCTACCATGTGTGTGGCACTGGTTTCGATCCTTGACACCACGTAAACAAATAATAAAGGTATTGTGTCCATCTATAACTAAAAATAAAAAATAACATCCCAAATCCAGATATTCCTGTGCCTTGCTTGTACAAATGACATAATTTATACATCTCTCCTACACATTTTAAGTCATTTCTAGTTACTTATACTAATACAATGCAAATCCTATAAATGGTTATTATACTATGCCATTCAGGTTATAATAAGGAAAAAAGTCTTCATGTTCAGTATACACATTTTTCCAAATTATTTCTGATTCTCAGTTGGTTGAATCCATGGACAGAGGGCAGACTTAAGCATTTCTTTCTATATCAATACTTATTCTCATGGTAAGAGTGGACTTTTACTCTTTAAGGCCTTCTTCCAGTGAAAATATTTTTTGATAAAAAAGTAAGCTTTTTGTGACATCTCCCTTTTCCTTTTTCTAGCTTACAGTGCCTTCCTAAACAAGATTCAGACCGTTCCTGTGGTTTATGTACCAACTATAGGAACACCACAGCCAGGTAAAGACCTCTCTTTTGAGAAGCCCAAGTATACATGCTTGATTGACTCAGAACTTCATCATCTTCCTTCCCCCTTTACTTTCAGGTTCTTATACCTCCGCAAGTTCTCCTCCTTTCTTGAGCCCACAACCCCCACTGACCCAGAGTCGACTACAGCATTGGTTATGGAGCATAAGGCACTAACCTGTGCTTGGGCAAGTCCCCTTTAACTGAGGGAATATTTTTAGCCCTAGACAAGGAGCCTACCAGCAATCTCTACACTAAGCCTCCAATACAAGGGTTCTGACAATCATCAATAAAAAATGTTAAGCTGTATTTTTATTAAAGTTGTTTGTTGTGTTCTACAGATTAACACTTACTAATACTAAGAAAACATAAAAGTCATTCTCACGTTTATCTAGTATTCCAATTCTTAAATCAATCCCTGAAGATCCACCCAATGAGCCTAAGTGGATAAAATGTCCCAAAGGGACTTTTTTTTTTTTAAAAGTACTTGACCACTTACTTGCCCCAAATGACTCTAGCATTCCACTCTTCTGGATGCCCCTGAATACTTGAGGCAGGAACTTCCTAGCAGTTAAACAAGACAATAAACAGGATATATCCAAAATGTGTTTATTGGGATGTTTTCCCACTCATCTTGATTCAGGCTGCTTTTAGTGCTGCTTCCTCCTGAAGGAACATCCTGGAAGAAAATGGTTTGAAGATTACCTGACAGGATACCTACCCTGTCCATTGCCCCACCCTCATAAAACTAGCAGAAGCCTGGTGATCCATCTCAGAATGCTACATTCCCCCTCAACTCCATTAGCTACTTAACTCATTTATACGGATTCCTTTCCCTTTAAGATTCAAAGCCAAAAACCACAACATTGAGCTATTTACCTTCTGTAAGCCTTGCTTTTCCTCCCGTAGGCTGGCAGAGGACAGTGGAGCAGCCAACACACAAAACTACTGTTTGTGCATGGCTAAAAACTGTGGTGATTTTGTAGCATCCTGGGGAGATGGAAATCAGGCAAAGAGTTAACGTTTTTCTCCAATATTACTGCCATATTTTTCTCTCACTTAACCCCAACTCAACATCCCATTAGTGTTTCCTAAGACAAAAAAAAAAAAAAAAGTACAATCTTTATATGCAGTTTTGACCAGAGAGCACGGAATTCAACTACTCCTAAAAAACAAAACTGTATTACCAGTTTCATGTATTCGAATTTTAGAAAATCGGGAGTAGCATTACCTCCTTCTAACAGATTTAGAAACCCAGGTTGCTGAGTTGCTTCAAGGGATGTGGCACAACTCGCACGGCCCTCCCCGCCGGGGGGCGGGGTCCCTTGCTTCTCCTGCTGCAGCAGGCCACCTCTCACCTGGGCATTTCACGTCCATGAAATAGGAGTTGGGGCTCTGCACCAGGCGCTTCTTCTTGTGTTTCCGCTTCTCCTCTTCCGGAGAGGGATGAAGGAGATCCTTTGCGAGCTAAGAGGGGAAGAAACGCAGAGGTTTAGAAACCAACGGCGAAAAGGGGACGATGGAAAACAGCCCCCACTGTCACACACCGGGGAGAACTCGCCCCTCGCCGCCCCTGGTGTCTGCGTAGCTGGGCCGCCATCTTATCTCCTCTCCGCTCCCGTCTATGCGGGTGGCCCGTGGGCCGCTGCGGTCCCTGGAGTTAAGGTCCTAAGAAGTGCAGAGGGTTACTGAGGACCCTCTACGAGGCGAAATCAGCGTGAGGGGAGCGTGCGGACAGAAGAGCGAGATCTCCGCTGAAACCTGGACCAAGGAACTCACAGGCATGTTCTCGTGGGGAGGTCGTCACCGCCGGAAAGGAGCGAAAGCGGAAATCCTGCTCCTTATATCCGGCATCCTGCAGGAAGTGACGCTCGGGTCTTGTGTCGCCATGTTGGGAAGGTCCTGCTCTAGGTTGGTCTTCAGTGGAGCAAGAATGGAACAGCCATTTTGAAAAGGTCTTTTAAGTGATCCTCTCGTCAGGAATGTGTCACCATGTTGAGAGAGCTATTTTGAATTCAGCGTTTAATCACTGTCAAGGAATAAAGGAACATTTTAAAAATTTACCGGTGCACTATGACAGCTGGAACTTTATAAGTAGGAACTGCTGCGGAAAAACCTCAGTAATACTGAACCATATCGAGCTTTATCTGGGGTTTATTTATTTTTCAATTATTGGTATTCTGTACCATTTCAGTTAACTTAACTTATCCATATTTAACGATTCTGGATGTAAATATATACAAAACAGACAGCCCTCCTCTTATATCCCCCCCAACCCCAACTAACCCTAGGGTTTACCATTGTGTGGGGTTTTGTTGTTGTTGTTGTTGGGGTGGGGGTGGATTTATTTAATTTATATATTTATCTAGTATTTTTGCGATGTTGGGTATGGAACCCAAGCGCTGCAGCCCCTCAGACTCCATTGTTAAAGTTCACTTTTTCTTTTTCAAATCCCTCTAAAAAATAAGAAAATAAACCGGGCATGGTGGTGCATGCCTGAGATCCCAGTATCTCTGGAGGATTGAGGCAGGAGGATAGTGAATTCAAAGCCAGCCTCAAAAAAAGCAAGGTACTAAGCAACTAAGGGAGACCCTGTCTCTAAATAAAATGCAAAATAGGGCTGAGGATGTAGCTTGGTGATCGAGTTCCCCTGAGTTCAATCCCTGGTACTCCCTACCTCCCTCACCAAAAAAGAAAACACTTATAGAAAACTTTTTTTTTTTTAAATATATTAGGGATTGAATCCAGAGGTGCTTTACCACTGAGCTAAATCCCCAGCCCTTCCCCGCCCCGCAGGGGTCTCCTTAAATTACCCAGGATGATCTCAAACTTGTGATCCTCTTGCCTGGGCTTCCCAAGTCACTGGGATTTACAGGTGTGCATCACTGTTCCCAGGGATAACTTCATACAATCATTTTAGTGCACCTGTGGTTTGACTGTGACCTATCAGGTGAGAAAAGGTGTGGAATTTTTCAGTGGTGTATCATGTCAACACTTCAAAAGTTTTAGAATTTGGAACATTTTAGCTTTCATGTTTTCAAATTAGAAAGCTCAACCTGTATAAATAAATTAATACAGACACACACATGTATACGTATATATATTTTTTCCACACATTATATATAAATTTGTGAAGATAGTCATAGGTATAAATACATTCTTCTGTGCCTGTGAGACTGTATTTGTAGGAAAATCCTTAAAAATCAAACTGTTGGATCAGTGCTATGTACACTGAAGACTACTAAACTGTCTTCCGAAATATCCTTTCGTCTTAGGCAACCACATCCCTTTCCCCCTATTTTAACCAGCACTGTCTCCACATTATTTTTAATCTTGCAGTATTGACACCTTTGCCAGAGAATGAGAAGAAAGGAAAGACAAAAATCAAAGCATCATGCTCTACTATAATGACTAAAGCTTTAGATTCTCCATTTGTCAAAAAGGAGAAATGAAGCCTGGTGTGGTGGCACACACCTATAATCCCAGTGATTCCGGAGGCTGAGGCAGGAGGACACAAATTCAAGGCTAATTTCAGTAATTTAGCAAAATCCTGTTTCAGGGGCAGGGACTATAGCTCAGTGGGTAGAGTATTTGCCTTGCATGCACAAGGCCCTGGGTTCCATCCCCAGCACCACACAGACACACACACACAAAAAATAATAATAATCCTATTTCAAAATAAAAAAGGCTTGGGATTTAGCTCAGTGGAGGAGCACTCCCTGAGTTCAATCCCCAGTACCACATACACAGAAAAAAATAAAATTAAACTTAAAAATAAAGGAGGAGCTGGATGAGGTGATGCATGTCTATAATCCCAGCAGCTTGGTAGGCTGAGGCAGGAGGATCCCAAGTTCTCACTGATACTCTAAGCAATTTAGTGAGACCCAGTCTCTACATAAAATATAAAAAGGAGCTAGAGATGTAACTCAGTGGTTAAGTATCCCTGGGTTTAATCCCCAGTACTCCACACACACACATACACACACACACACACACACACACACAAATATATATATATATATATATATATACACACACACACACACACATACACACACACACAGATGCACACATATAAATAAATAAAAATAAAGGAGGAATAAAGATAACCCAAATGGCACCTGGAGGCCTGGTTAATTCCAAAGGAAAGGAAAGGCATGTGAATTTTTTTGTTTTGTTTTGTTTTGGTACTGGTGATTGAACCCAAGGGTGCTTAACCACTAAGCCACATACAAGTCCTTTTTTATATTTTATTAGAGATAGGGTCTCACTAAATTGCTAAGTGCCTCCCTAGGTTGCTAAGACTGGCTTTGAACTCACGATCTTCCTGCCTCAGCCTCCCAAGCCACTGGGATCATTACAGGCATGCACCTTTGCACCTGGCTGGACAACCAGCTTTCTGAAGAAAAGTTCTGTGATTGTAATCTTTATTAATCTCAGTAATGTAAACCACAGCCAGTTTCAAAGTACCAAAGTGGCATATTGAACTTGGAGTTGGTATGAGATGTGCAAAATCTATACTACAGAGCAACAGTAACAAAAACAGCATGGTATTGGCACCAAAACAGACTGGTAGACCAATGGTACAGAATTGAGGATACAGAGACTAACCCACATAACTACAGTTATCTTATATTAAACAAAGGTGCCCAAAACATGTACTGGAGAAAAGGTAGCCTCTTCAACAAATGGTGCTGGGAAAACCCATACACAACAAAATGAAATTAATCCCCTATCTCTCATCATGCACAAAACTCAACTCAAAGTGGATCAAGGACCTAGAAATTAAACCAGAGACCCTGCACCTATTAGAAGAAAAAGTAGGCCCAAATCTCCATCATATCAAATTAGGCTCCAACTTTCTTTTTTTTCTTTTAATATTTATTTTTTAGTCAGACACAATACCTATATTTTATTCATTTTTTTATGTGGCGCTGAGGATTGAACCCAGGGCCCTGCACGTGCTAGGTGAGTGCTGTACCGCTGAGCCACAACCCCACTCCCCTAACTTTCTTAATAAGACTCCTATAGCACAAGAATTAAAATCAAGAATCAATAAATGGGGGGGGGGGGGGCTGGTATGGCTCAGCAGTAGAGCACTTGCCTGGTGTGTATTTATTCATTTATATGTGGTGCTGGGTTTGATTCTCAGCACCACATATAAATAAATAAAGGTCTATCAACAACTAAAACAATTTAAAAAAAAGAATCAATAAATGGGATGGATTCAAACTAAAAAGCTTCTTCTCATCAAAAGAAACAATCAGTGAGGTGAATAGAGAGCCTACCTTTTGGGAGCAAATTTTTACCACAAACACATAAGATATAGCACTAATCTCTAGGATTATATGAAGAACTCAAAAATCTTAACACCAAAAAAATAACCCAATCAATAAATGGGTAGGGCTGGGGATGTGGCTCAAGAGGTAGCGCGCTGGCCTGGCATGCGTGCGGCCTGGGTTCGATCCTCAGCACCACATACAAACAAAGATGTTGTGCCCGCCGAGAGCTAGAAAATAAATATTAAAAAATTCTCTCTCACTCTCTCTTTCTCTCTCTCTGTCTCTCACTCTCTCTTTAAAAAAAAATAAAAAAATAAATAAATAAAAATAAATGGGTCAAGGAACTGAATAGACACTTCTCAGAAGATGATATACAGTCAATCAACAAATGTATGAAAAAATGTTCAACATCTCTAACAATTAGAGAAATGCAAATCAAAACTACTCCAAGACTCCATCACACTCCAGTCAGAATAGAAGCTATTAAGAACAGAAACATCAATAATAGTTGGCAAGGATGTGGGAGGAAAGTCACTTTCATACATTGCTGGTGGGACTGCAAATTGGTGCAGCCAATATGGAAAGCAGTATGGAGAATCCTTGGAAACTTGGAATGGAACCACCATTTGATTCAGCTATCCCACTCCTCGGTCTATACCCAAAGGACACTATAGGGACACAGCCACATCAATGTTTATAGCAGCACAATTCACAAATAGCTAAACTGTGTAACCAATCTAGATGCCCTTCAGTAGATGAATGGATAAAGAAAATGTGGTATGTGTGGTATATATATGTATATATATATGATGGAATATTATTCAGCATTAAAAGAGAATAAAATCATGGCATTTGCACGTAAATGGATGGAGTTGGAGAATATAATGCTAAGTGAAGTTATGTAATCCCAAAAAAACCCATTGCCAATGTTTTCTCTGATTTAAGGATGCTGATTCATAATGGGGTTGGGGGAGGGCATTGGAGGATTAGATGAACTCTAGATTGGGCAAAGGGGAGGGAGGAGAAGGGAAGGGGTAGGAAAGACGGTGGAATGTGATGGACATCATTACCCTAAAATCAAGAATCAATAAATGGGATGGATTCAAACTAAAAAGCTTCTTCTCATCAAAAGAAACAATCAGTGATGTGAACAGAGAGCCTACATTTTGGGAGCAAATTTTTACATACATCAGATAGAGCACTAATCTCTAGGATATATAAAGAACTCAAAAATCTTAACCCTAAGTACATGTATGAAGACGCGAATGGTGTGACTACTTTGTGTGCAACCAGAGATATGAAAAATTGTGCTCTACATGTGTAATATGAATTGTAATTCCTTCTGCTGTCATATGTAACAAATTAAAATAAAAAAATAAATTTAAAAAATAATAAAAACTTTTGAGGAAATTATATTTAGACTGAAATCTAAGAAAAGAATTCTCTGGGCATGGTGACACATAAAGCATGGTGACATGTAATGCCAGCAAGTCAGGAGACTGGGACAGGGGAATTGCAAGCAAGATCCTGTTGCAA